CTGAAATGCGCCTTAAAAACCATCGTTCAACAGGCTGAACTGTGCCTTTAATTAGATATCGAGCGAGGGTTCTCGAAAATTGTTTGTATCGTGCGAAATCGAGCGAGAGTTTGACCAACATGTGGCGAAATATAGGATAATTGCTGTTTCCTTGCATGGAAAACGTCACGTATTTTGACATATATTTACCAGTTCCCTAAAAACATAACTATGATAGGGTGATAGCGGTTATATTATTTCGTTACTCACCTTTACACAACCTCAAGATAAACAAAATTCCCTGGTTAAGTCAGCGTCTGTTTATTCGAAGTGTTACATGTTAGTGTTAGTAAAAAACACTCTCTTTCTATTATATACTTTATTAGAATTAGCGGCTCAACGTACTCGTTATCGTTAGTCAGAAATAAACTATTTCCAAAATTTTACGGTGTGACTCATATACACCAAAACAATCTATATAATTATAGCCTTAGGCTATAAATAATGTTAGTTCGCTTCGGTTGATTGCATTTAGTAACCGATAGCTGTATTCATGCACAATCTTTACAACAACAATAACAGGAACTCCACCGACAACTTATTGTCTCGTATGGATTATCGAAAACAAAAGAGCATTACAGATGATGTCAGTGAAAAACATGCTGTCTGATTTATATACTGAGATCTGAAGCGTCTTAGGCTCATTACTGTTTTGATCTCTGTCGGTGAGCCTGCTCTGAGAGATATTATAGAAATAGAAATAAGAACGCGATGTCTTCAAGAAACTTGACGAAGTTTTACTTTTACGCTGATAAGACACTGTTAGTGGTGTCGCGTGAGAAGTTACTGAGAGCAAATAAAGTAGTCATCGCGGTCAAAGGAAGTGACGTCCAAGGGATACTGCATTGAAAGGCATGAAAAGCGAAGTTGATATCTTTTGGAGCCAGTGAAAATAATACTTATTTTTTGTAGATTTTATTTCGTTTTTATTTCAAAATATTGATTGTGGATTTTAATGTTTCTGGATTTTAATGTTGTCCTTAAAGATCAGTCAAGAATTGACTCTGTATTGTTAATTTCAGTTTACCCCGTGTTTTCGCACGGACTTGCGAAGCAACGTTACTTCTACCAGTAGTTGCAGATTATTTACGTATGCGAAAAATTTTACACGCAGTATAGCCACAGAGTAGACAAGACATACAGAGACGTAACTGACCGTTGTAAACACTGCGGAAGATTACGTTATCATGTACCCATTTTTTTTTCAGGCGACCGGGCGAAAAATGATCAACTGCGCGTGCTCAGCAAGTTTAAAGTGAGTCGTCATGAGGTCGTCATCCAATCAGATGCATGCATCTATAGTAACTTGCCGAGCATGCGCACAAAAAAAGTGGGTACACTAGTTACGTCTCTGTATGTCTCTACTCTGTGGTATAGCGCTGCGAGAATTCTCGTGAATGTTTGCATCGAGATTTCTCGCAAAATTCTTGTGTATCCACAGGAGGCCCAGGCTCGATTTGCCCGCGCCCGCCTGTGCCTTCCTTATAACGAGGGAAGGACGGAGACATTGAGACCAAAATAGCCCAGACTTGGCATATGTCACACGAAACTATCCTCGATTTTTCGCTTTTACTGTCGTTCCAATTGAAGTGTTCCTCAAATATTGATTCAATACATTACCTCTTTCACAGGAAGTGTATGAATATCTCGAGGAACTTGATGAAATGAATTGGTTAGCCTGAGGTAATGTATTGAATCAATATTTGAGGAACACTTCAATTGGAACGACAGTAATGCATTTCTTTCACGATTAATCGATATCCCCTGCAAGAATGATGCTGTATAACTCTCAAAACAACGATGCTTTAATCAAAGAGCTTAAATTCGCTCTGAAATCTGTGAGGGAATAACAAAATTCGGCCAAAATATATCCGCGTGCCGGGTTTGCTGTGCAAAAAGCGGAAGTCGTTGAACAACTCAAAATACACTCAACCCTGATTGGACAACGAATATCGACAAACATTTCAAATTTTTTTAACAAACACAATGTGAAATACAATTTATTATACATATTAACGTACGTACTACAGTTATATTTACATGCAGTAATATTTACACTTTATAACGTTTGTGAATAGTTTTGATTGTATGATTGAAATTATTACAGTACTGTTTAAAAAAATTTGATATGTTTGTTGATATTCATTGTCCAATCAGGGTTGAGTGTATTTTGAGTTGTTCAACGACTTCCGCTTTTTGCACAGCAAACCCGGCACGCGGATATATTTTGGCCAAATTTTGTTATTCCCTCACGAATTTCAGAGCGAATTTAAGCTCTTTGCTTAAAGCATCGTTGTTTTGAGAGTTATATGGTATCATTCTTGCAGGGAATATCGATTAATCGTGAAAGAAATGCATTAAAAGCGAAAAATCGAGGATAGTTTCGTGTGACATATGCCAAGTCTGGGCTATTTTGGTCTCAATGTCTCCGTCCTTCCCTCGTTATAAGGAAGGCACAGGCGGGCGCGGGCAAATCAAGCCTGGGCCTCCTGTGGTGTATCGAGTAACGCGAAGCGCGTTTCGAGAAGCCTATCGAGCGAGCGAGAATTTTTATCGAGTGGGTTTAGAGATCTCGATACTCGAAACATTTTCCTCGATAGCATCGAGCGAGAATGGTTAACTTTCATTAGGGCCGTACTGTACATTATTATTTTGCTGTCTAACAACAGACAATTTTGCTTGTCAAGAGGAGAGTGATGGATGGGTGGAAGCTAGGGTTCTATGATAAAAAACAGACAACCTACCATACTGTGTCCGTCAATAAGTACTCCAAAACCTCATGTATACGCAACTCTACTGTCTTGCCAAGTGGGTCATCTAGTACTGTATTTGTTAATGCTGTCTGAAAACCAGAAATAGATATAGACTGATGTAAGATTTTGACAATCCATGTAATGCAATCTCCCATGTATTATGTATATATAAAAAGGTCGAGCATTTTAGAGGGGTCAAATCCATATTCAAGTTGCCACACAAAATGTCAAATTGATATTTTTGGTGGGTGGGTTATTATTTTGTGACATTTTCACAAATTTTACCATGGCAAAATGATTTTCGAAAAAATATTGCCATAACCTATGCCACACTTGACATTTTCAAGGCTGGGTGGGTTTAGATAAAAATGTCAACTTGACATTTTGCCTGGCAACTTGAATGTGGATGCATGGTCCTCACGTCAGACCTCTATCAAACATCCCAACAGATACGGATTTTCATATTTTCGTTCGGGAGGTGGATAAATATCTGG